TCCGGACAAGAATTTAAACAGAGAGGTTATTTTTGACCTTGACCCTTGACCTAGAAACTTCGTTCAAGGTCACCGCACATCCATTGACCAGTGGCACTCTGTGAGTGAAGTATGAGCCACATTGGACCAAGGGGAGAGAAGATTTGCTTCGGACAAGGATTTTTCATATAATTCCGCTAGACCTAGAAACATGGGTTCAAGATCACTGCACACCCTTTACCCAAAGGTACTGTGTGGGTGAAGTATGAGCCAGATTGGACCAAGGAGAGAGAAGATATGCTCTGGACAAGAGATCTCAGACAGACAGACGGACAGACAGACTGATCACTATAGGGCACCTGCAGAGCGGGGCCCTAATTATAACATCAAAGCCATATTTGGATAATGATACAAGTTCATAATATCATCTTTTGATGTCTACTTGTTTATGATATGGTACTAGGTTTACAATACATAAAAAAAGACTGCTGAATTAATTGCAACAGTAAAGCCACCCGCATGGTACAGTGGTTAGAGCTTTCATTCTATTTTCTCAAAGTAATGAGTGGAGACCAGTCCTTCAAATGAGACTTATAAACTGAGATCCTATATTGCAGATGTTGCTGGTATGATAAAAATCCCTCACTGCTCAATGGTCAAAAGTGCCAAGTACAGGTCTAAATTTGTAACATTCCACCTGCAACTGGTGATATTCCAACATGAGTGAAAAATTCTTGAAGGGACATAAAACACACTAAACCAACCCACCAATGGCTGTGTGACCAACAAGGATGTCTGATGAAGCACAGTCTACCTTCGATCTCCTAGTCCTTTATATAATCACCAGGAAATGCAGACAGTGAGATCAATTCCTGGTTCTTGAGTAAACATCTTCAGTATCGGCAACATCAAATGTATTTCTTGAGAAGTTGCTTTTTAACCATGAATTCAATTGGAGGGAATTCTACCTTGTGAACAAATATTATCAAAACTTTGTACCCTGCCATTTGTCACCCCAAATTCATTGTCAGCTAGTACTAGTCCCTTGTAGATCAAGTTGGAATAATTTTTATGACTATGATATATTTCCAAATTCCATTACAGGAGAGGCCTAGCTATTTTTTTAACAAGTTATCTACCTACTGACCTTTCATATCTCTTTTAAGAGCTGGTGAGTTTTCCTGGGGGTGCCAATCCCATTTTTCGCAAACATAATGAAATTGTGCAACTGTGATAGATGCATCTTGCCTGGTTTAAAATCTATAAAGTAGCACCTATCATTTCATATTATTACTTAATTGTTGCATCAAATTCAGCTATTTGTATGTGCTTTAGTGTGATTTGGCAGGCCATGGAAGTTTGTAGCAGACACTAAGCAGTAAAAAGATGCAAGGAGACTATTCTGTGTGGGTTATTTGCAGACTAGCAGTATTGATTTTGTAGTTTGTGAGCCACTTAGACCAAATCCCAGACATTGGGAAAAACAAAAATGCAAATAGAAGCAACACCTTCCACAAGACATCATACAACAGAACATTATGTAACCAAAAATTATATTAAAAGCAGATTGCAAAATATTATTAATAAGCTTACTTAACTGCCTTTGATATTCAAAATACATAAAACTTTTTTTATGTAGCAGGGTTGATAGATGACTGAATATTATTTGCTAAATTAAGCTTAATATATTTATGTGATTTTTCATGTAAAAAAAAAATCACTGCTAGTGCCCCCCCCCCCCCCCCCAAAGAAAATCATTTCTTTAACCCTGACAGGACATCACAGTTACCTTGCAAATTTTTTCTGCATATTTCAAAGCACACACACACACTTTTAGGAGGGGGCATGTTAAAGGCTCAGTAGATAAGATTCATTTTTCACTTTATATTCACTGCACAATTGTATACTCTATATGACAGCTGAGATTATTTATATCATTTATTTATTCAAATCACTGAAAGTTATCAATAGTTCAAGGTCACTCAATTGCCATCAATCAGTGCTTTACAATCCTAATTCATGATGGCTTCATTTCCACCCACTAACAGAGTTCATAGATTTACAAAATCACAATAAATAATACTGATATTGCTTTGGTACCAAAAGCTACTTGGAGCATATATTATCTCCAGGAAGTTAAATAAGTTACATTATCATGTAAACTTTAGCATGTGTGTTTGAGTGTTTGATTCATCATCAGTTCTCTTCCATTACAATCCTAGCCATAAAGGTCTGGGTGGGAGGTTTTGTGAAAGATCATTTTATGGTGTTAACAGAAAGATCTGAAAAGGTGCCAAGTTTTGTGTTCATGGAGTGCTGTAAGATTAAATGTTACATGTACATGTAGCAAGTAAATCTATTCATTGTATATCCTAAACGGGGTAACACTTAGATTCCAGTGAACATAACAAAATATACCAGGGTATTTGGTATACTCACATTAATAAAAGCATGCAAAAAGCTGAGAAGAAAATTGACATGTATTTACATGAGAGTGCTAAACTTATACAAGATGTGAAACAGTACATATTTTATGCATGCATTGTTTAGAATAATAATGGATTTTTTTCTTCATATACTTACCAGTTGATAAAGGAACTCTTTCCAGCTGAGTGATTGCCAATAAGGAGGACTGAGATCTTCTTTCTGGGTGCAAGTAATGTCAAGTCCAAACTCTCTGCTATCTTTATAAGGCCTTTAAGATGGTACAGAAAAAAATGTCACACTTTTGGAAAGTGCACTCAATGTATCAATAAACTTTATTACTTGAAAAACCCTCACATTCTAAAATGAGGTGGTGGTGGAGGGCAGTGTGGGGGTGGGGAATTGATCCCAAACTGTGTGAGAATCAAGAAATTTCAATTACAATTTATAATACAACACTGCCACATAACATTTATATTCCTAAAATTGTCCATATGGCATTAATTGCTTTTTTGATCATACATTTTGCGTCATATTTTACAATTTAACAATTTAAGCATCGATCAATCCATATATATTATAGGATAGTACTCTCTTTCCCTATGCATCTTAACAAACAGACCCCCCCCCCCAAGTGTTTTCCCTTTATTTCAAAAGTAATGGGTTAGGGATCAATTGCAACAGGCTTTAGGTTGAGGTTTATGACAAATCTCTGTGGACCTTACAGCAATAAAATTTTGATTTTTTTTTTAAATTTCAAAGCAGCATTTTATTTCAACTGAATCATTTAATTTGGCTGGTAGCCAGTTCTTAGGACCCCCCCCCCCCCCCAAGAAAAAAAAATCATACATAGAGAATATCCTTAAATCGATCCTGTTGCTGAATGGAAAGTGATTGCATCACTAGTTTACACAAATGCATACATGTATATAATGCTTCAGTTCCTGTTTCAGATTGTCTCTTGCCTTTCAAAATATCAAATCCTACATCCTTCTGTGGAATGAGATGAATATACAGATTATCTTGATCATTGTGAACTTTTACACACAAGCACTGTCCAAGATATAGGACATTCTGCTTTCAGGGAGATTTAAATTCCATTTTGCCATGTAGAAAAGTATATCAATATAAATTATGACACATTTTCCTTCATTTGATACTCTTATTACACCATGAACCTTTGATAATATAAAAGGACTAAACAATACATCTAGGGTACATTTTTAGGATGGGGTGGGGTGGGGGGTTACTGTCTAGTTGTTAGGTGTGCCCACACTTTGTTTCCAATATATACTATGATGATTTTATATTCTTTTGTGAATGCTTCACCGTCACATTAAATGAAGCTGTTTCTAAATAATTTTGAAATCCTTTAATACCAAGTGATCGATTTTTTTTTAAACATATTTATTTTAAGTATTTGGCAATTCAGCAAATCACATCTTTCCACCTCATGAATTGTTGACTTGTGTTCACACCCACATGACTCAAAATGTTGTATACTCACCTGTGACACTGCATGTGAACAAAGAGGGAGACTTTTCCATTGATTTTTTTACTCAGATTGATAAATGACTGTATTACATTTATAATCACTGTGAAAATTTTCAAGAAAATATCTTGTGAAGACAGCTATTTGAAGGTCATACAGTACTATGAGTCATCGTTCATCCAGACACATTCACAACCTGCTGCAATGATGCATCAACTCATCGATCCCCTTTCTTTTTTTTCATTGTTCTTGTTCTTTCCAGATTTTTTATTCTTGAAATCCTGCCAAGATGTCACCAAACAAGTACTTTTTTCGCCATGAGTGACCACGTCAAAATAAAGAAAACTGCATAGACCAGTCTGAATTGATCAGACAGGATTATATTTAGAACATGCTCGGCGGGGTCAATCCAGTATTTGGACAGGTCTTTAATAAAAACTCCTTTAACAACAATTTTCTTTGGCAAGTTTAAAGAGATGCTTTTCATCTCCACAAATTAAAAAAAACACACTGACAGAAAATTCAAGAAAAATCTCGAATATCAATTCTCAAAACGTGAAAAAGTGCCGAGTCGGCTAAATGAATGAAATGACGGAAATTCACCGGCCCATGCCCTTGTGAATTGCATAAGTAATTTTTAAAACGATGTCTGCTCTCAATGAAAGAAAACTTGCTCACCATTATCCGGGTCTGTGTAGAGGAAATGACATTCTTTAAGAATCTTCTCGTTGGTGGACTGAGTCGACGAGTCCGCGGCAGTCGCCGACGATTTCTGCTTAACTTTGCCAGACATCACACAGCTCCTGTCAAGTCGAGCAGACAGTTTATTAGGTCCGACTGGATGTTGTACTTCATTTCCGAGAACAGGAAGCGACTTTATACGCACTTTTATACAAAATAATGTACGCAGATATAACACAGCTACGCTAATATTTGTTTGTTTACTTCTTCAAGTCTAACATCTGAATTTTAATATTCAGGGAAGATGAAATATGTTCACCGAAACTATTTGTGTATATTTAGGGATTTTGCAATATTTTTAAAAAGACCCTTCGGTTCTCAATTCCACGGCGACTTCCGTCAGCTGATCGGAGAATGATCCGAAGTAAAAAGATGCTGGGAAGATGTTTTATTCAATGAAATATCGATTACTCCTTCATATAAAGCATGAATTTTACCACAAAAGCGTGTCATCTATTATTTTCATGTATATAACTATTATTTCACCGTACTTTCCGATGACGATGCACAAGCCGGTATTATCGACGAATCCTATCAAGTATACGATTTACTTCGAAGCTGAGGTAAACAAATATGGCGTCTCTTGTACCTAATTATGGTAGTGATGAAGATTCGTCTTATACGGATTCAGATGATAATGTCACAATATCAACGACGTTAGTATTAATTCATATTTGGATAAACTTCTATATTACTGCCATATACAATGCATACCTGCATTTGAGGTGGCACATAACAGAAATAATTATAAATTGTCAACATTGTCATTCTTAAAATATGAACAACTGAACAAATGAAGACGAAAAGCAGTTTTCATGAAACTGTTTTATCATTATCATGGCTAGTCAGTGTAGGAATAGTATTTAGTCTCAGTTCTAGTTCATCCTAGTACTGAAACATAACCTGTATGTGATAATGTCACTGTCATGTTTGAAGGTGCGACTGCAACCATTGGGATAAGCGCATTTTTATTATCACATACTATATATACAGTAGATATACTATACTAATATGCTTTACGGTCCCACTGGGCTGAACACAGTTGTATACCATAAAAAAACTTTTACATAACAAAGTTTATACTTTAAATTTTGATCCGGCTGCCTCTTCGAACTTCAAAACTCATGAGATAGTCATACTGCGACACCACATGATGTCGTATCTAAGTTGCATTTCCATAACTGAGTCTAAATAGGCCTTTTGCAATTTTGTAACAAAAGGCATTGTAGAGAAGATGCAATTATTTTTAGTCTTGTTTAAGTTCTTGCAGATTTAAATCAACGACGTTAGTATTAATTCATATTTGGATTCGCCATTATCGCATGAAATCCTGGTAGCAATGGAATTCTGAAAAGGTTTCACAAAAAAATTTGCATTGAAAAATCAGAAGTTTTTGAAACAGCTCCATTATAAAGTAACTTAAAGTCATATCTTTACCAAACTTGTATGAATGTTGTAACGAGATTTACTAGACATACTTTGGATGCTGCATCAAACTAATAATTTATTTTTCTTTTTGGATGAGTGAATATAAAGCAGGTTTATTGGTTTATTCCCCAGTGACTGTTAACTTTACCTAGCCCAAACTTGCATGGTTGTTTAGGGTTGCACTCAATCAGACTTGCTTTAGATGCTATGTCTGACCTACATTTTCTGGAAATTCACTGTAGATTCTTGCATATATTGAGCTGATCATTTTTTTTTTAAAGTGAGTCTTGAGAAGTTAAAGATCAGGTTCACATTTTTTTGGACAGATTTTTGATGGAATTACAGCCTATACCATTAGGAGATTCAGTATTTAAATCCTTTTCAGATTTTCACTATTAATATTATTTAGCAACACTTGCACTTGCTATGTCACAAAGGTTCTTCAAGAACAACTGCAATTAATAAGACATTTAATTTCCAACTTCTGCCCGATATATCATGTCAGCACAACTCAAACACCATCTTACTTCCTCTATCATGATAATGTTAAGAATATATTTTACACAATTGTTTCACTAGATTTGCATCCCCCCCCCCTTACTGCACCTGAGATCTGAGCATATTTTACAGCAAACTGGAGTGTAAAACCAATTTAATTTGTGCAGTGAAATGATTATTCAATGATGTTTTAGACATATGAAGGACATTTAAAAATTTCCAAGAACTGTTTTATAAAATATTAAACATTTAACGGAAGTTGATGTGTTTTATACTCTGAGGGACTGGTCTTGCAATCAATCTTTGTTGTGAACCCACCTCTGCTGCTGTAGTAAGCACAATACTTCATGTACAAATCTGATGAAACAGAAAAATTAACTTTGAAACATACTGCACTGAGCATTGATCATGGTTTCAAATTGTGACATCTCCAGATAAGATGAGCAGTAAATATTGAGACTGAATTATTTTGAAAATCTATTTGAAAATGTTAGTGTTAGGGATGGGTATCGGCAACAATTTTGTATCGTGATATATCACGATTTTTTCCCACAAATATCAGGATAAATTGTGATATTTTTACACACAATTTTTACTAATATTTCAAATGAATTTCCATAATATTTCTTAAAAATATGCTATAAAAACATTAACTTTACTTTATAAATCATTATTTATTTAATATAAAGCATGTTTGGATGCTGTTGTTTAACTGTTTTGAACATTTTTTACACTTTCTGTAATTGTCATTCAATGGTTTGAACAAATAAATGAATAATTTCTGGAATTTTTAGTTATATGTACCAAATACCGGTATTTTACTCTCCGTATCACGATTCATATCACGTAATGAAAAATCGCATCCCTAGTTAATGTACGATTGATATACTATAAAAGCAGAAATATTCATTTAGGATTAAATATTGTAACAGTTGTTAACAGTTATCAACGAAACTAAATCCCACATGATTTTTTATTGTCAATGGATAGAGTTGCTTTCAAAACAACAAAATTTAATGACTACAAAACTGTTTTAAATGATAATTCATTGAAATTTTATCCCCATGAAAATTTGTGCTTCTACAGTTTTTTTAATCAGTAAGAGCATTCACTCAATAGAGTGCTGCATTCAATTTTGTAATCTAATTCATTTCCTTATGTTTATAATATTATGTGTTCAGTAGAAGTCTTTGTCTTCTTCTGTTACTATCTTGTTTAACTACTTTTAACATGTAAACCATTGCATTTAATTGCTTCTGACAACCAGAGTTGGATGTATATAGTTAATGGTGCTTACACAGGCAACTGTCACTGGTTAATATGTAAATAAAGGTGGACTTCATTATTTCGAACACCAATATCTAGAAAACCAGGAATATGTTGAAGTGAGTTTGCAGCCCCAAAACCTTTATGTTTTTTATCCTTGTTACATGTATCTTGGATCCTTGGATATCTCAATTTTAAGTTTAATCTTGGTCTTGTAGATTTTGAGATAACTAGGTTTGACTGTACATATCTAGGAAAATGTCAGGATAGTACTCACATAATTTAATTTTATTCACTCCATTTTCTCAGGGCACAGAAAGAAACGGAAGACAAAGCAAATCAGAACTTTTTTGATGCTGGTGCAAGTAGTTCAGATGAAGATGACAAAGAGGATGTAAAAACTGATGATAAAAACCGTCTTCCTAATCCAATGCTAGGCAGTCTCCCTCAACCAGTGTTTGATGCAGACAATGAGAAGGAATTACTTTCTGTGTTCACAAATCCTTACGAACAGGCAGAGCAAGCTAAAAATACTGTTCTTGAAAAACATGTCAAAATGGTCGAGAGGAATATTCCAAAAGGAAAAGCTGGGCAAGTCTGCTTTAAATACAAGAAAGGAAAGTGTCCGTATGGGAAAAATTGTAGATATTCTCATGACTTGAGTTCAGAACTGATTTCAAAACCACCAGCAATGACGGAGGAAAAGTCAGTGTTTGATTTTCATCACCACTCTGTTACTGTGCAAAAAATTGAACCTGAGCTGGAAGATGATGACAATTATATGGCAAATGCCAAAAGGAAAAAAAGGTCTGGAATTACTGACAACTTATTGCCTCCAAAAAGAGCTCTAAAATCATTGGATAAACAAAGACAAACTGAACGGCCATGGACTGTTTCTGATAAATAAAATTGATAGTTTTCTTAAATTGTGTTTGTCATATGATGTAACCACAAATTCATAATGGTAAATTATGCCATATACTATTACAGTGCAATAAAATTTACTCTATATTTACAGCATTACTACATGTTACTGATATTAAATATAGTAAACAGTGAGAGAATAATATTTACATGTCAACTTGAAACAGTTTCTGAACAGACTTCATTACCATAGGAATAAGTTAATGTTATGCTCTTTTTTATTTGGGGAAAATGATTTTTCAGTTTTTCTGTAGCTGAAAATTCTATCATTTTTAGCTCATCTCAACAAAGTTGGGAGGATCTAATGTAATACCCTCGGCGTCAGCATCCCAGGTAAAAGTTTGTGGAGCAGATTTCTTTTCAAGTACTTCTATGCCTTATATTTATCAGAGATGCATGGAAGATGCTTCCTAGTATGTATCATTGTACCAGTAAAGGTTTCAAATGCCACAATTTCAGCTAAAAATTGACCAGGTTAAATTTTTTGGAGCAGGTTAAAGTTTTAGGAGCAGATTTCATTTCCAAGTAACTATAAACCCTACATTGACTAAACTTTAATGGATGATACATTAAAGAGTGAATATCAGGCTTGCTTCGGATGCTGGAACTGAACATCTTTATCTGGATGAGTGACCAGGTTAAAGTTTTTGTAGCAGGTTCATTCTAAAGTAACTATTTGTCCTACCTGGACCAAGCTTGTTTAGAGATACATCTAAGGATGCACACTACTGGACTTGCTTCAGATGCTGAATTTGACTTGCATATTCCAGATGAACAAAGAAGTTTTTGGAGCAGTTTCTTACTAAAGTGACTATAAACCGTATTCTAACCAACTTTGCACTGAATATACATTTATTGATGCACACTACCAGTGTTGCTTTGGATGTGGGATTTGACCTACATTTTCCAGATGAGTAATTAGGTTAAAGTTTTTGGAGCAGGTCCATGACCAAGAAACTGTATGGTCTATGTGAACCAAACTTGCATGGATAATGCATCAAGGGATGTACACTACCAGAGTTGCTTCAGATGCTGCATTTGACCTACATTTTCTAGATGAGTGACCAGAGGTTAAGTTTTTAAGAGCAGGTCAATTAACAAGAAGCTATAAGTCCTATCTAAGCCAAACTTGCATGGATGATGCATCAAGGGATGAACACTCTAAAAAATGCTTCAGATGCTGAATTTGACTTACATTTTCAGGATGAGTGACTAGTTTAAAGTTTTTAGATAAGTCCTTTCCCAAGTAATTGCAAGCTCTATCAGACCAAAATTGCATAAATGTTGCATATAGGAATGTTACTAGATTATTAGTTGAGTTTACTACATTATTGGTTTAGTGTGGGACTTTGCCTTACTTAAAGACAACATTTGTTGAGGTGAGCTCTATAATTTCTGATTACCAGTACCTATGTTTCCAAGAGTGAATATCTTGGATAATGATTACTGAATCTTGATAATGTGAATCATCATCACTATAATCTTACAGGTTAGTCATTATCTGCTGTTACTGATTAGCCAGAGAATACAGTAATTATTGTTACCCCTCTCTATCCCAGGGTAGACCATACAGTTTCTTGGTCATTGACCTGCTCCAAAAACATTAACAAAATGCAAACTTGATCTGTAACTCATCAAGGTAAATCACATTCCAAAAATCAGTTCAATATTTGCAAGCGTTTGGAAAAAAAGGTGTGGAAAACTAAGTGGGACAGATAGAGGGACAGACTGATGAATGGACAGACAGACAGATGGACAAAAGAGGAGAAAACTTATAGTCCCCTCTGGTCTCACTCAAAGGGAAGTAATAACTAATAATCTAGATTTCAAAGTTCGCTTCCAATATATTCTGATGTAAACATTTTATCTCAATGTGAATTACATGTATTAGAAAATTTGAAAGTCTGGGCCATAACTTTTATAAACATAGGTAATCATTGATTACAGAGCTCACCTCATCAAATGTTGTCTTTCAGTAAGGCAAAGTCCCAAACTAATAATCTAGTAGTGTGCATCCCTAGATGAAATATTTATGCAATTATGGTCCGATTGGGCATGCAGTTACTTGGGAATTGACTTACCTAAAAACTTTAAACTAGTCACTCACCCAGAAAATTTAAGTCATATCCAGCATCTGAAGCAAGATGGAGAGTGTTCATCCCATGATGCATCATCCATGTTAGTTTGGTTCAGATAGCCCTATAGTTTACTTTAACCTGGTCACTCATCTAGAAAATGTAGGTCAGATACAGCATTCGAAGCAAGCCTGGAAGTGTCTATCTTTAGATGTATCATCCATGTAAGTTTGGTCAACATATGGCTTAAAGTTACTTGGAAATGAGACCTTCTCCAAAAACTTTAACCTCAGGTCACTCATCTGAAAAATGTAGGTCAGATCCAGCATCCGAAGCAAGTCCAGTAGTGTGCATCCTCAGATGTATCATCCATGCAGGTTTGATCAAGGTAGGGCTTATAGTTACTTGGAAATGAAACCTGCTCCAAAAACTTAAACCTGGTCACTCATCCAGAAAATGTAGGTTAGATCCAGCATCTGAAGCAAGTCCAGTAGTGTGCATCTTCAGATGTATCATCCATGCAAGTTTGGTCAATATAGGGCTTATAGTAATACTTGGAAATGAGACCTGCTCCAAAAACTTTAACCTGCTCCAAGAACTTTAACCTGCTAAAAAAACATTAACCTGGTCATTCTTCAGCAGGAATTGCAGCATCTGAAACCTTGACTGGTACAATGAAACATACTAGAAGCATCCTCCATGCATATCTGATTAAGGAGGCTGGGGGGTCAACAAATTAACCACAAATTAACCACCAGATTTAACTTAATTTTTTAGATATGATATCTTAAGCTGTCAACTATCATTTGGCAAAGAAAAATTTCAAAAATTTTAGTTTTAAAATTTGATCATTTTCTATATCTTCATATGGAGCTCTTCTTCTAAAGGAGATCAATATAGTCTAAAAATGGCCACAACCCCCCAGCCTCTTTAAATAAGGACATAGAAGTACTTGAAAAGAAATCTGCTCCAAAAACTTTAACCTGGGACACCGAGGCTGACACCGAGGGTATTACATAAGCTCCCCCAACTTCATTGAGGTGAGCTAAAAATGGGTCAATGAGGTCAATGAAACTCGAACTTGATCTGTAAGTCATCAATAACAAAGGACATATGAAAAATCAGCTCATTTTCTACACACATAGGAAAAGAAAAATCTAGAAAACAGTATCCTCACAACGTCAGGGTCTCGGAGTCAAGACATTGTGTTGACTCACGACCCCTTACGTTGTGAGGATGAGAAAAACAGTGAATTATTTAAAATTTTCAAAGTCTAAGGCCATAACTTTCATTAAAATGGGCCAATATAAAAACTCAAACATGATCTGTAAGTCATCAATATCAAGAGGCCTTCCAAGAATCAGTTCATTTTCTACAAGCATAGGAAAAATAACTATGACAGAATGATTGACTGAAAGGGGTACCACTATGGCCAGGCCATTTCATGGCAGGGGCATAAAAAAATTACATGTTTTTTTTCTGCCATATATGCAACCATTAATTCAAGTGGCCCATGGGCCACAATGCTCACTTGAGTCACTATGGTCCTTCTGTTCTTCATCAGCAGAATAGTCCCTACATTGTTCTTGTGAAATTAAGATCACATATTGCAGCCCTATCCTACTCCCCAGGGGTCATCATGATTTGAACTTTGATCCCCTGTTGTGGCCCCTCTCTACCCCTGAGGGGTAATGATTTAAACAGATTTGAATCAACACTACTTGAGGGTGTTTCCATATAAGCATGGCTCTGCTGTTCTTGAGAAGATTTTTAAAGATTTTCCCTATATATATATACCAATGTAAAACTCATGATTTGAACAAACTTGAATCAATATCACCTGAGGATTGCTTCCATATAAATATGACTAATCATGGATTTGCTGCTCTTCAGAAGAGGACTTTTAAAGATTTTTCCAATGTATTCCCAAGTAAAACTTTGATCACTCATAGTAGCCCAACCCTACCCCCTGGAGTCATGTTTTGTCCAAAATTGAATCTACTCTATGTCAGGAAGCTTTCACATTTTTCATCTTTTTTGGCCCATTGGTTCTTGGGGAAAAGATTTTTAAATGACCCCACTTTTCTTTTACTTCTCTTAATCATCTCCCCTTGTAAGAGGATGTGGCCCTTCATTTGAATAAACTTGAATCTCCTTTACCCAAAGATATTCTGTTCCAAACTTGGTTGAAATTGGCCCACTGGTTCTGGAGAAGATGAAAATGTGAAAAGTTTACATCACTTAAAACGAAAGACAACAAATTTTATTCAGAAAACCTCACTTGAGCTTTTGGCTCGGGTGAGCTTATAAGTTAGAAAAACAAAGGATTTTACTGTTTAAATGACCCCATCTATTTTTGCCTTTTCTTGATTATCTTCCCTTGGAGCCCCCCCTTTTTTTTAAACTTGAATTTACTTTACCCAAGTATGCTTTGTGGCAAGTTTGGATGAAATTAGCAAGTGTTTCTAGAGAAGAAGAGGAAAATGTGAAAAGTTTACAGCAACAACAACAGAAATGAAAATGACAATGGACAAATTTTGATCAAAAAAGTTCATATGGACCTTTAAGTCTTTTGAACAATTATCCAAATTAACTTCCCTTGAGTGCACTCTTTTCCATTAAGTTTGATCTTATCCAGATCTTGCAAGATTTTGAAGGAAAACAAATAATGTTATCTCATGATGCTCAATGCTCATCTTTAGGTTCCATGCCACTTTGTTTTCTTAACATTCCATTACATCATGCTTTATTTTTCCAAAGAAATCCCCAGTTTTGAGATCTACCTTCTGTCTGTTGTTAACTTAATGTCCCCAGCCCGTAGGATTGATGTCTCCTCTGGGCTCCTGCTATTTACAAAAGCACATCTTTTCCTAAACTTTAATCATAGACTGTTCAAAACTGTTTCTCAGATTTTTTTTTTGCCAACAGACTAACAGACAAACATATGAAAACATTTTTAAACTGTTCTAATTTTACATGGTTTTTTTTTATCTATCATACTAGTAACTTAGTAAGA